GTCTTTCTTTACTCGGAGTTTTGAGTTGAGCGCCTTTACATTCGATGGCAATGTGGCTATGAAAACTACCAGTGCATGCGGAAGCTATACTGTACATCCAAGACCGGGATAGCAGCAATCGTCCTTGAATAAACGTAATAGAAATCGATTATAACCTTCTTAAACAGAGTACCTTAGAGACACTATGCATTTACAGTTCTTGTTATACAGTTCTAGTTCTCTTGCGCGATATTGCAAAATGATCGTGGCATAGCACACCGATACTCCCCGCCTACACTGGAATACGAGTTTCATGGCATCATGACGTCTACTAGTCTACGAGTATGTCTCAGAGGATCAACACCGCCCTAACAATCCAGCTCCCTTTGTCATTAGACAAACTGCTACTACCCCAGGTCTCAAGGATTTATACCATGCCTAGCTAAGAACCAATCATTTCATACCAGACTTTCGTCCTCAAGGTGCTCCGGAGACATCTCGGAGACATTCCTCTGCAGCCCCAGCAGCAGCCAGCAGACACGAAGAAGGGCATGGAGAAAAAAAGTAATATAAGAAGTACTCACCAAGCTCGTCCACTTCATCTCATCCATCGATTCTTTTGCACTCCACCCTCCCCTTCTCGAGTTCTGCAACCGCTAGCCCCTCTCTGCAAGCCCCAATCCCCAATCATCCCACCAAACAATGGCCACCTCCCACCCCAAACTCAAGTACACATCTTACCAAACCCCCGAATTCCTAGCCAACTACTACATCGCCGAGAAACTCACCGGCCCCTTCGCCGCATCTCTGATCGAACACGCCCGCATCGCGGCGCGAGCACGCTCCGGAACCCCGCGCGTGATCCTCGACAACGCCTGCGGCCTGGGCATCGTCTCCAGCACGCTCGCCCGCACACTGGACGACGAGAGCAAGAGGCGCTGGAGCTTGACGTGCGGCGATCTGAGCGAGACGATGATCGAGGCCACCCGGCAGCGCATCGAGCGAGAGAAATGGCCCAACGCGGAAGCGAAGGTGGTGAATGCGCAGAGCACCGGCTTTCCGGATGAAAGGTTTACCGATATATTCGCGGCTTTCGGTTGGTTTCCGCCTCCACATGAGACGGTGAGGGTTAAGGCTGACCTGGGAGGCGTTGTTGTAGCCTTCACTCTATTCCCGGACCCGGAGGCGGCGATGAATGGTAAGTTGTGCTCCAGTGTAAATCGTTCAGTGGACGCGCTGGAACGGATTTCCTGACGTGCAATCGATGTGTGCGTGGCGAAGAATGCTATAGGATCCTGAAGCCGGGGGGAATGTTGGCGACGACGACCTGGAAATACGGTAATGTGCCCTCCGGTCTTCTACCGAGAACTTACCAGTTGACTGAGGTACTGACTTTCCTGCATAGCGACTTGGATGTCTCTCCTCCGATCCGCTGTCACTGGAATGTCTGAGGACCTGAAGTTCCCAACCGTAGAGGAGTTCCTGGCTATGCATAACGTTGGCTGGGATTCGGAATCGTTCGTAAGGTCCCGATTTGAGAAGGCAGGGTTCAAAGAGGTTCGGGTGGCCTCTGTGACGGAGCAGGTCGAAGTTCCGATCTCTGAATTTGTGCAGCTCTCACGGAGTATGCTGAATTTGGTGATGGAAAAGTTGTGGACTCAGGAACAGCGAGAGCGGTATCAGGCGGAAGCACCATTGGTGGTGCAGAGGTATCTGGAAGAGAGATTCGGGGTAGATGGGCTAGTAAATATGGGGCCGTCGGCTGTTGTTGCGGTGGGAAGTAAGTGAGGAGCATTGAGGGAAGTTTACCTATGATTCTCTAATCTACAATATAATGTGCGCATATTATAGTCACCAAGAACCGAACTTCAGATCATCGGAGTCATTGATTGAGGTTGAGATATGTACTAAGGTACTTTCCCACAGATTGTAGAGAACACCGGGTGCTCCGCTATTACTAGTAACATCTAGAGCGACTGTTTACGGAAACAATCAGTGAGCCCGAACGCCGTTGCTGACCCCATTCCACCTTGACTGGTCCGTGTCGATTTTCATGACCCGTGGTGCGGGAATCCGACGCGCGCAAGCCCTCGGTTGGGATCCATACGGTTGTCCAGATCCTCGTAGCGAAGGATGAACTCACGCTGCAGATCGCAAGATTAGTATGTTACTATGAAGACAAAATCAAAATGAGGGCATGGCGAGAGGGCATACTCTGATCTTCTTCCAGCTGGTAGGATCCCACAGGAGGTAAACACCCCTTTCACTGACACCACGTTCCACATCAACAGGGCCGGGATACGTCTCGTCGCGAGTCAGCCAGCACCGCTCGATCTTGTGATATCTCCATTTCCGACCCATCAATTCCTCGGCTACAACTTCTTGTAGGAGATCTCGGGGCATGCTGTAGAAGATGTAAAAGAGCGTTTCATCACTAAAACTCGGAATCCGCGATTGCAACGGTTGGACGTTAGCCACGCTGTAGCATGAAGGAAGCGCGAAATCTTGCTCCAGAGGGGCGCCTGTCATGGACGCGACGAATGGTGAAGCGAATGACGTATGTAATGGTCTAAAGGAGTCAGTCGACATGGATTTTCGCATAGGGTTTGGTAGAATGCATACTCCGGCTGGTTCAAATCCAACCCTAACGTCATCAAATCCTGGCCTACTGCCAGACTTGAAACATCAGCATTATCGCTATGGATCATGCGCAACAATCCCGCTAGCCCGAACTTGTCCAATTCGCTCATTTCCGCGAAAGGCGATTGATCGACCGTTTGCGCAGTCCCAGCAGACGCTTCTTTACCCGTGGCCGGAAACCCTGGCGGTCGCATGATTGTTGGTTGTTCACTGTAACCGGCTGAATTAGACGCTACAGAGCTGTTGACCTCCTGCTATAGTTCGTCAGTTTCAAAGCCAAAGTGTCACCGAGTCGGGGTCAATACCTCTTTTTCGGGGGCTGGAAGCCTGCTAGAGCCTTGATTCACAGGGGATCGCGAGTTGTCTATTCCTAGAACGTGGCCTTAGCGCTCCGTGCGGCGCCAACGCGCTCCATTACGACTTACCTGTTGAGCTTGCACCACCAGGGGACATGATCCGTTCTTGTCCGTTCATGGAAGCGGCGATCATGTTGCGATTTTGTGCAGATTGGGACTGGTTCACGCCAGAAAATGGCATACCACTGCTGTAGTTTCCAAGTCCCGCACCCTGCATCAGCGATCCTCTTCGGTCCTGACTAAGGTCTGCAGGCGCATTACGTCCGAGCGGAGGGAATTCTTCAATATTGCCCGTCTGCGGCTGTCCACCGGCACTCAGCTGACCACTGATACCCTGACCACCATTCCGGAAATCTTCCAAACGATTGGCGAACTGCGCGCCGGAGGGGAATACGTCATCATGTGCGGGCTGAGATTGCTGTTGAGGGTGTTGGGGTTGCGTTTGAGGTGGTCTTTGAGGCGCTTGTGACGTAGCATGTTGCGGTCTTTGGACAGGGGTCTGCTGCATAGCACGCTGGCTGGCATTTGCCCATACCATATGGCTTGGGTTTTGGGTTTGTGATTGTGGAGCCGCGCCGGATAGCGAGGGGAAGTCCCTGTGAGGAGAAACAATGATTCTCAGTCATGAACTCAACCGACATGGGTATCCTCGATGAGCTGATCCATAAAAGTCAAGCCCTGCAGGTCGAGTGCTACACTCACGAGAGATCCAGCGGCGTAGTGGGCTGGGATCCACTTAAGCTTTGAGCGAATGTGCTCATTGTCCCGATGCTGCGTTGTTGACTGCCTTGCATCCCTGGCGTTCCGCTTACAGGCAAGTTGAAGTTCCAGTTCGCTCCGCTCCCTATGCCAGCCACAATTGTCAGTTTGCGGGTGTGTAGAATGGCCATGATCAGAAAAAGGTCGCACCGATCTTGCCGTTCGGTAACCGCGCCGTTGCTAATGCTGCGTTTCGAGCTTGTGCCTGTTGTTGTGCGGGGAAGCCGGCCATGCCTCGTAGGGGTTGTGGGCCTGTTCCTAGAGTGGGTAAAAGCGGTCAGCGACACAGTCAGAGCCTCTGCTAGCTTGACATCTTGCGACTGCCTTCAAGTGAGGCCGGAAGGGAGGGTGCGGAGATGCTGCTGCTAGGTCTCGTGGTTGCCCATGGCAGGAACCATCAATGGATTTTTGCGATTGAAACACAAGTAGAGAACGGCCACGGTACCGTGCATCAAGCACCCTCGGGACCGTCCACACGAACGTTGGGGCGATGGAAGGCAACACAGTATCCAAGATCGAGGGCGTATGATTCGGCCGTAGCAGCGAGGCCAGTCATGACGAAGACAAAGGGAAGGTTGGGAAGGACAAACCTGGCCTGTTCATTGTGCAAAGAGGCGGGCGTTCAGTAGATTCTATGGAAAAGTCAAGTTTTGGACCGGGACTCCACCAAGACAGTCAGTACTTCAGCGTAACAGCGATAAGAAGGAAATGTGCAGCTAGGATCTCTACCCACACTGTTGCGCCGGTACTGGGAGGCGGAGTGGCTGCAACCGCGCGCTTCTTCTTTGATGCACGGACCATCCATGACTAGCCGCTCGGGTCACGAGCATCCAGAACACTCCTGGTCACGTTACCTTGTACAAAACTAAGAATTTGTCGTGAACAGTTTAGTTAGTGCTCATCTCTAGCCGAAGACGATGAAGAGTAGGCAGGATGAGCATATATGGGAGCTTTCTCTGTATGTACATGATACTACCAAAAGCAAGACATGGCCAGTAATGATTACTAGATACTACTAGGTAGGTAGCTTCGATCTGTGCAGTAAACATGAGCCAATATCTTTCCAGACTGGGAGAGACTGATTCCTAAGTATAGATTCATGTAAACTATTCTCTTTGCTGGCCGACCGCGTTTTTCCTTGCTTATGGAATGTTTCGCTTGGCTCGCCCTATGGGTCGATGTTGCACGGAGCATCCTGGAGCGGCGCCTGCACGTGATCTAGCCGCCCAAACTCCGCTCCGTCAGCTTTTGATTCCTCGGGGCCGCAGAACGGACATGTTGTGTTAGAGATCCCTCCGACTACGAAGGCTACGCTCCTCACAATGCATCGCCAGGCCGTCCTGCGTCTGGCTCGCCAGACCGGCGCTTTCCCCCTGGGTGAATTGCCTCCCCCATACCTCGCCCCGTCCCTCCATTTCTCTCTCAACCGGTCGCCGGCCCAGGCCTCGAACTTTTCGTCCACCGCTGCCGCCGCGGGCCACGGACGTGACCTGAGCAAGTCTCGCGGTGTGTCCGCCATCCACCGCACCGGCCCGAAATTCAAGCTGGGTGTGTCGAAGTACCCATTGCCCAAGCCCGTCGCTCGCGGCGAAGTCGAAAAGCGTCACCCTACCCCCGACCATGGACTCTGGGGATTCTTCCCCAAGGACCGACAGGCATTGAGCAGCCCGGAATATGATACCGCCCACGGTTCGTTTCTCCAATTCTCTTCCTGAAGGATTAGTCTGGCCCAGTCAACTCACTTTTCGATCTCTTAGGTCGTTCATGGTCGATTCAGGAACTCCGCGAGAAGTCGTGGGATGACCTCCACTCTCTGTGGTGGGTCTGCGTCAAGGAGCGCAACCGCATAGCCACCTCCAACTTGGAGAGAGAGAGACTGAAGGCCGGTTATGGTGAATACGAGGCGAACGAGCGAGACCGTGTGGTATGTCCCATCCCTATTTTCAAACGCGCCCTCCCCCCCCGTTGTCATTGCTCCTTCGAATAGGCTATAATCGATGCAAGTTCGCAACGTCGATCCAAGCCTTTGTCTCATTATCCAATGGATCAGTAAGGTTGCTGACATTCGACGGATCCATTAGGTTCGCGTTACGCAAAACGGCATCAAGCACGTTCTGCGAGAAAGATGGTACGCTTGGGAAGATGCTCAGAAGCTTTACAAGAATGGATACCGGCCGCAGCATGAAGGTACTCAGGATGCATCCTACCCTGCGAAGTCTGGGGATTCTGAGAACCTTGAGAAGCCTGAGCGGGCTGAGAAAGCGTAAATTCCACCATTGGTTATGTCATTGAAGACACAGTTCGGGGCTCTATTGACGGAAATCCACCTTACTGGTCTTGTATTATTGTATGTAGTATAGTTTGCAACTTCCCCTTTTTTTACCATGCATTGGCTTGCTTCAGAATCTATACATTGCGCTCAGATCATAGGGAGAAATGTTTGTGAATTTATTGAAAGACATCCATAGAAGAATGATTGGAAGGGGAAATTTCCGATGGCTATTGCAAATAATCAAGCCATTAGGGCACCGATATGGATAGCGTGCAAATAGTTGCCGGGGTCGGCTGTTAGTCACTTTGGCCAGTCCGGAGTAGACCGTCCATAGCGGAAAGCAAAAATCCCCATGAGAATATTGGTCATTGGCGATGTGCTATGTGCTATGTGCTACGTAGTCCGACTGGGAAAAGGGGCAGGAGTTTCAGGAGGTCACAGAAGAAGAAATTGGGAGAGGGGCTCATGATTCATCCGATAAATTAACTTGGTCTACGGGTCCATTGTCTTGGTGCCTACCATACAATAGTCGGGTCGTATTTGTTGTCGTAGTCGTAGTATGAGTAGTTGGTTTGGTCTCAACCGTCCAAGGACTCGTGGTCTAGTCTAATAAAGTCCATAACCCGTGAGTCTAGGACTCTAAGGAGGTTCAAGGTCTGGCAGTCACCCTGGAAAAAAAGCCAACGTTAATTGCCTTGGTGGAGCCTGGGTGGGCGGGCGTCAAATAATAACGGGTTCGAGAAGGTGATCGATGATCCGCGGGGGGTTCCAAATCTACCCTTGGACTGCCTTAGACTGACGGGTCGGCCTCCTTTCGACGGGCCTGCTCCTCCTCCTCCTCCTCCTCCTCTCCCTCCTCCTCTCCTCTTTTCTTTCCTTTCCTTTAGACTCACCGTGCTTCATAACTCTCCATCTTCTTCCCCCTATACACTTACTGCCCATATTTATTCCCATCCTCCTATCACTCCTTTGGAGACTCATTTGCACATTGTCATTGATTTCCAGCGTTATCTCACATCATGGATGAGATCGCCCCCGAGTATGATGTCGTGGTGCTCGGCACCGGTATGTTACTACCCCGCCATTCCACCCAAGCTATACTGACCCCCCTCCCCCCTCCGCAGGTTTGACCGAGTGTGTACTTTCTGGGTAAGTCCTCCTTACCGCTGTCGGATATATTTCAGTTGCTCATGGTTTCTGCAGTGTTTTGAGTGTCAAGGGAAACAAGGTCCTTCACATTGACCGTAATGATCACTACGGAGGGTAAGTTTGGGCAGCTCCGCCGGAGCTATCTTCCCACCACCTTTGCCATCACACAAATCACTAACCAAGCGTTCAGAGAGGCTGCCTCTGTTAACATTGAGACTGTGAGTATCTACAGCCCCTTTCATACTCTGTGTCAGTGTTGCTAACAGTTGATTTACACCTTGCAGCTCTTTAAGAAGTACGGCAACGTTCGCCCCGGCGAGGAGCCCTGGAAGAAGTATGGCCGTGTCAACGACTGGAACATCGACCTGGTTCCCAAGCTGTTGATGGCCAATGGCGACTTGACCAACATTCTGGTTTCCACCGATGTCACGAGATACCTCGAGTTCAAGCAGATTGCGGGCAGCTACGTCCAGCAAGGAAAGGGTCCCAAGGCCACCGTCGCCAAGGTGCCCTCGGATGCCGGTGAAGCTTTGCGTTCTTCCCTCATGGGCATGTTTGAGAAGCGGAGAGCCAAGAAGTTCTTGGAGTGGGTGGGCGAATTCAACGAGAGCAATCCCTCCACTCACCAAGGTTCGTAGAAGCTGTGCTTTTACTACCTCATGACACTGACATGGGATAGGCCTCGACATCACCCAGTGCACGATGAAGGAGGTCTACGACAAATTCAGCTTGGAGGATAACACTCGCGATTTCATTGGTCACTCCATGGCTCTCTACCAATCCGATGAATACTTCCTCAAGCCCGGAGCGGCTCCCGAAACCATCAACCGCATCCGCCTGTATGTCAACTCCATGGCCCGTTACGGCAAGTCGCCATACATCTACCCCCTTTACGGCCTGGGTGAGCTTCCCCAGGGATTCGCTCGTCTTTCTGCTATCTATGGCGGTACTTATATGCTCAACACCTCCGTGGATGAGGTCCTTTACGATGAGAGCGGCAAGGTGTCCGGAATCAAGGCCACCATGAAGGACCGTGACAATGAGGGCGAGACCATGAGCTTCACCACTAAGACGAAGAAGATTCTCGCCGACCCCTCGTACTTCCCTGGCAAGGTCCGCGTTACTGGCCACTTGTTGAAGGCCATCTGTATCCTCAACCACCCCATCGATAAGACCGACGGCAGCGACTCGTTGCAACTTATCATCCCTCAGTCTCAGGTCGGAAGAAAGCATGGTATGTTTATTTGAATCGCCTCTGATCACACGACGTACTAATATACTTCAGATATCTACATTGCTATGGTCTCTTCGGCACACAATGTCTGCCCCAAGGGATACTATATCGCCATTGTCTCGACCATTGCCGAGAGCGATGCCAACCACCACATCGAACTGGAGCCTGGATTCGAGCGTTTGGGTAAGATTGAGGAGACCTTCTTCAGTGCTCCTATTCCTCTGTACGAGCCCATCGAGAGTGGCGAGAAGGACAACATCTTCATCTCCAAGAGCTACGATGCTACCTCCCACTTCGAGACCACAACAGGTAAGCCTTCCAGATACCATGAGAGAGAGGTTTTGAGCCTTTTTGCTGATGTCTTCATAGATGATGTCCGGGACATCTACCGTCGTGCGACGGGCGAAGAGTTGAAGGTGGAGGGTCTCCGGGAAGATCAGAAACTTGTGGAGTAAATCAGCCTCCAGCATTTGCATACTAGGGTACAGTAATTTTTTTGTCGCTTCGGATGCGCGTTTTTGACTTGAGCCATAATTCCTCTTGGACTTTCCTTCACGCTCATGAAACATACCATATATTGCTCTTGGACTCAGTCCGCTCCCTTGGTCTCTGGTATACGATATTATTACAGTAGGGACAGGTCTACATATGTTCATATCAACCCAGCTCGCAGGTGCATAGCACCACACCACTTTGTGAATAAGAGTTGTCGTTCTGAGAGTTGAACACATAAGGCTGTTAAAAAATGCTCTATCGTAAGTAGCGTCGACAACACAGAAGACCACCCTCAGCAGAAGGATCCCGAAGGTCAGAGAAAACGACTCTGCAAATAGATAGAAGAGAGAGGAAGTAGTACAACAAGCGCTAGTGTCGACCGACGGGTGCAACAAACCAGCATTGCCCCTCCCAGCCAGCCAGTCAGTCCCTCTTTCACATCGACGAGCCATCCAAATTGACTTTCTCATGGTCCGCCACAATACAGACCTTGCCATCCTCCGCGCGACAGATCTCCGCCTTCACCAGCGCCATCCGCTGGCCCATATTGACCATCTCGCAGATCAGCCGCATCTCCGTCCCCACGGGCACGGGACGGATGTAGGTCAAGTGGAGGTTTCGCGTGGTCCCCGCCGTCGAGAAGCGGCCGGGGCTCGACAGCGCCAGGATCAGCACCGAGGTGAGGCAGTCCACCATGGTGGCGGCGCAGCCGCCGTGCAGGTTGCCGGCGAAGTTACAAAGCGCCGGCACGGTGGTGAACAGGTAGGAGCATCGTGCGGGGGCCCCGGCCCCGGCACCACGAGTCGCGGACTCGAAGCGCAGGTTGCAGGCTTGCGGGGAGTAGTCCCATGTCTTGTTGGGCGCCAAATCATTAGTGATACAAAGCACTTGGGATCGGGAGCCATGTAGCTACACAGTATAGTACAGCACAGTATACATACTTTGTTGTCGGGGTCTAAGGGGGGAGGACCCTCGGTTAGGCTGTGGACGTGACGTTCGAACTCGTCCAATTCGTTGTATGCGCGGGTGGTGGGTACAGGCATCTTGTCTTGAAGATATCTCTGAATTGTGGATTTGAAAATCGTTGGGCTTGGGCTAGTATGGGCTCATGTGGTATGCAAGTCTGGACAATGAAGTCGACCACAGACGCATATCTATACGCTTACGTCGGTTGGGGGAGTTGCTGGACGGGAAATAGCCGAGGTTGACGGCTGTTGGCTGTTGTTTCAATGGCTGTCACTTGTTCACTGGTGAATGCTCAGCCTTGTCACATAAGTTTGTGGTATCATGGTCCACTTACCATCTCTTATATATCTTTCGCTCCCCTTTTGTTTGGCTTCGTCTTCGTTACCTGATTGGGACTTGCGAAAGAGCGTTCGAATCGGATTGTCAATTGCGGGAGACAAGATATATACTTCATGTTAGCATCCTCAAATCAAAGTCAAGGACTAGACACAGACTACTAAATGAACCCGTCAACAAACCTTCAGCCTGTGGTGTTCCGACACAGACAAACTTCAATGATCTCCACAACAATGTTCTAGCTTCTGGGGAATCTGGCTATAGTTCAACGAGGTCTCACATGACCGCGCGTCGCGCGTGCTGCCTGAGGCTGCAAGATTTCGTCTCTCCCCATTAATGCTTCTCCGCCTTGGAGGAGGCCGGAAGTCCGAAACAGACTCCCATAACCCTGGTTGCTCCTTCGACAGCATTTTCCTCAGCGTGGCCTGGAGAATACTTGTTGGACTCTGACTGCATGAAAGTCAGGTCATTTAGCGAAATCGCGAATCGCACCTTCATCCCCCAATTGAGCTCCGATCGGCCGCCATTGGAGATTATTTCGTTCTCCGCACCTTACTACCTATCCATCCTTCCCCTTCGCGCCGATAAACCAACCGTGTGACATACTCGCCAATCACATTTTTTTTCTTCTACAAACCGGGCCCCGTGAAATGAGTGCACAGCTCTCAAGTTTCCGGTAATCAGCAGCTCGACAGAAAACCCTTAAACCCAGATAAAGGCGAAATACCTACGGGCGTCAACAATGAAGGACTCGCGCGCGAGCAAGAGGAGAAGGGTGTCGAATGTACAGGCCGTGGATGAAGATGGAGATGTGGAAATGTGCGATGATACTATCAATGCTCCGACAGACCAGTCGCAACCTACGCCAGATAAGAATTCCAAGGCAGTGACCGAAGCGGAGGAGGCGCACCCGGTTGACGAGCAACCAAGATCACCGCCAGTTTCTGCGCGATCGAAACGCCGACGATCCTCCCAAGGTGCTCCAGCGGTGGAGGATGACAACGCCCACAACAACAAAGCTGAAGAGACGGTTGCAATAGAGACCCCGTCGCGAGCTGGAGTACGGTCAAGTGGTCGGCAGCGAAAAGTGCCCAAACGTTATGGAGACGAGATCGTGGAGACGCCATCGGGCAAGGGCGCGGCGGCCTCGACGCCGAGGCAGAATGGATCCACAACTAAGAGTGCCCGGAGAGCGAAATACGTGTCGGCGTCAGAAGATGACGGTGTTGGGGATCAGGAGGAGGAGGAGGAGGTCGAAGAGTCTCCGGAGCCGCAGAAGCGGCGCACTCGATCCACCAGAGCGAAGAAGCCTTCGGTGCGGTTTGATACCTCGGACGTGAAAGGGGCTTCAGCGAAAGGCAGGGAGGAGTCCCGAGAGTCCTCGAACCCAGATGACTACCAGGATGGACTGGAAGACCTCGTTTCAATGCAATTGCAGGAGGATCTTACCAATAGTGACTCGATCCAAGTCGATCAGACGGCTGCGAAGGAAGGTCCGCTTCCTGCGTATGCCGAACAGTTCCAGTCTATCGTCCAAACGGGCTTGACGGAAGAATTACGATTTCTTACCCAGGTTGTCCTCGAAAAGTTGAACGGGAAAAAGAGGGTGCCTCTCAAGGGGCTGGAGACAGAATTCGACAAGGTCAACCAGCTCGTTGAGCAGACGGTCTCGATCGGCGAGAGTAACTCGATGCTGCTTCTCGGCTCGCGCGGCAGCGGGAAGACGGCCATTCTTGAGACGATCATCGCGACGCTGAGGAGGTCGCATAAGAACGATTTCCACGTCGTCCGACTCAACGGCTTTCTACACACGGACGACCGACTGGCGCTCCGGGAGATGTGGCGCCAGCTTGGTCGCGAGACGAACACCGAGGATGAAGCCGGCAAGGTCAGTAGCTATGCCGATACGATGGCCACTCTGTTGGCGCTCCTATCCCATCACGAGGAGCTCTTTGGCCCTTCATCAGACCCCGAAAACGCGACTTCCGCCAAGTCGATCGTCATCATCCTGGACGAGTTCGATCTCTTCGTGACACACCCTCGCCAGACGCTTCTGTACAATCTGTTCGACATTGCGCAAGCGCGCAAGGCCCCCATCGCGGTCCTGGGACTCACCACCAAGGTGGAAGTGACAGAGATGCTGGAAAAGCGCGTCAAGAGTCGCTTCAGTCATCGTTACGTCTACGTACCTCTTCCACGAAGCCTCGAGGTATTCTCCGACATCTGTTTCGCGGGTCTCAACCTCGAGGATGACGAGGTCTCGGACCTGCTGGAAGACGCGGATCCTGCTGAGCAAGCGATTCTCAAGTCCGAGGGCTGGAGAAGACTCCTCGCAGCATGGAGGGCGTATCTACAGGTGAATTTGACTCCCCATCTTCCCACCAAAACCCACATCACTAACCCACAAACACAATACAGAACCTATGGACCGACGAAGCATTCTCCGCTCACCTACGACGGATCTACTACCAAACCCGATCCGTGAAGGAGTTCTTCACCAGCGCCCTGGTGGCCATCAGCGAACTGCACCATAGCACCTACACCACCACCACCACCAACGGTGGCGGCAACAACTCCCAGCTCACCATCCCCACCGCCACCACGTTCACCAGTCACCCGCTCGCCTGCCCCGATCCAGCCCCGCTACCCTTCGCCCCCACGATCACCGCCTCCGCGAGCCCATCCTCTCTCCCGCTCTCCCTCCTTCTCGCCGCTACCCGCCTCGCCGCGCTCTACGATCCAGGCCTCGAGAGCGTCCAGACCCCATCCGGATCCGGATCCGGGCCCCTGGCCCTCTCCTTCCCCGCCGCCTACGCCGAGTACGTGCGCCTGCTCACCTCGGCCAAGACCTCGGCCTCGGTGTCCGGCGCGGCCGTCACCCCCGGCCGCGTCTGGGGCCGGGATGTCGCCCGCGAGGCGTGGGAGAAACTCGTCAGCTGGGGCCTCATCAGCCCCGTCGGCAGCGGCAGCGGCACGACGGATGCGCGCATGTTCCGGGTGGAAATCAGCTTCGACGAGGTGGTCGAGATGGCTGGCACGGGCGGGTCGTTGGGTCGCTGGTGGCGCGATGGGTAGACTTCTCTTTCTCCCGGTTGTTTCTATCCGTTCTCTTCTTTTTTTCTGTTCTTTGGCCCGAAGAAAAGATATCATTCAATACCCGACTAGCATTGAGATTTGTTGAGAATATCGGTAATTAGAATTAATAGATAGGAACACCCCGGGGTTCACTGGATCTAGTCTCCTTCTAGCAAGCTACATACAGACACACTGCATACATGGGTTTAGGTCGAGAGTGGGATCTTTTGTTCTTTTGTCAGTCGTTTTGTCGGTTGGTCGGCCAGGCTGGTCCACGCCAGGCTAGTCGTTCAGTCAGCCAGTCGGCTAGCCTGCATACAGACTCAAACTGAATATACATACACGGTTCAGGTCTGCACAAGAGGAATTGTCTGATGTGAAGAACAGTAACGATGAGGTGAAGGGAGGAAAGCCGGACCAATGGGGTTCCAGTAAGCCTGGGCGATAAGCAAAGCCGGTCGGTAGGAGGAGGTAAATCCATTGTCGATGTGTATGTGTCTATGTTAGTGTGTACTGGGGAGGAGAGGCGCAACCATCTCACTGTATGACCGCCTGCCAGGCTTTTCTTGCGGTGACTGGACGGGTTGGGTTTACTCTTTTAGTCGGATATCTTCTGTGCTACCCAACCCACCTGCTGTAAGATCTTGGCTTACATGAATTCGAAAAATGACTACTGCATCCGATTACGCTCTTACACCCCTCACTTGTCAACCTCTGCCTCTTGTACAGTTACTCGGGCGAAAGAGCGGAGGGAGGGCTTTCCCCCATCTCATCTGCACAATCAGCCGAGCCCACGCCATGAGCTCCCGTGTTCCATTCTCCCCGGACACCAGAACCTGGACCCCACGCGCAAACACTCGCATGCAATCATCGGCTGGCAGCATGGCGAGAGCGTGGTGGCAAATAAATGTATTGTATGTACATACTGTACCATGTAATGTCAGATGCCAGTGGCAGGACTAGTAGAACAAGGGACCGCAGGGTTATCAAGGACAAACAAACATTTGACTGGCTTACTGTGGTCAGCGTGAGATATCGCTGTTGTCGATTGCGCCATAGACCACCACTTGTTCACGGCCTGGCAGTGCCTGCTGCATGCATCCGCCTATATTGGCGTGGGATGGCATTCTTCCAATTGGGAAATTCCTCGCCAGGGGCCATGATGGGCCTTCCTATACTGACTATATCGAAGCCGTATGCTTAGCTCGCTTGAACGTTGTGCAACCGGAGAATCTAGTACAGCGGTTATTTTCTGCCACAGTCGGATGTCCGGGATTGGTGACCGGGATGTGAGAAGTTTTCAGACCGGCCAATATGAGCAGTAGGGCAGGCAAGTACTGAGAATATACGCGTAGGACAGTTGAGCCCGCTGCTGTACATGAAGGAAGAAGGGACTTTACCTTGAAGTGCCTAGTTACGTAGTATTCGGGCATTTGCTGAAGTATATGCAGCCCAAAAGGATTGGACCTAGAGAGGCCTGGCCCCTTTCACTGCAGTAGGCGATATGTCCAGTACACACGCGAGCTTGCTAGTACGCACATGTCAGACACAGAAGATGGTGATCTCAATCTGAGCTTTCCAGCTGTGCATTAGCGCAACCACCTGGCTGACCTCATGGCATGGCGTGGCGTGGCAAGGAGGAAAAATAGTAGTCTGGACCAGTTGTGCAACCCCATCCATGCATCATCTAGCTGCAGTCCGCAAGGGATGACTGGTCTCGCTGTCTCGGTTCGGAACAATGAGGGTTCGACTCTGTTCCGACCAATGAGGGCACCGAGATCTTCTGATCGTCGTGGCAGGATGGAATAGCTATCAAGGCTTAGAGCCGATTAAGCATAGTGTCTGTCTGTCCGAATTCGGCCAAGGAGTGGTTGGTGCATGACACTCTAGGTATCTGAGGGGAAGGTCGATGTGCGCGCTCTGACTCGATTTGCATGTTTAGTTCTCCCCTAGCTCATGTACCGTATGTCGGGAGTTAGGACGAATCAGAGACCTCCTGTCTTTCGCAACCTAATGCATGAAATGACCCTGTTGATTTAAGTCGGTGCTACTCCAAGGATCAGAGGAGGATCTCTCAGTCATCATCCAACAAGCGGGGACACTAGGTCACTATGGAAACCAAGTAGCGTTCTTTTGACATCCGTATCAAGCGCTGGGAAAAAACGAGGACGAATCCGCATGGGGGCCTAACACTAACCGAGTATCGCTTGTCTGATGTGAGGAAGAGGTATTTTGATGCTGTAATCTTTTCAACAGAAAAGCTGAGATGGAATTCTACCGACACGCCTGTTTGCCTTGTCTTGTCCCCGGGGAGACGGGTGAAACCGGATATGTGAATGAGTAGTCAATGCAGTCAACCGTCTGGCATCCCTGCCACACATTGCCAATGTTACACGGACTGCCAATACCTCTCACTTGCGCATAGTGATCAATCATGTCGTGGTCTCGCAAGCACTGCTAGTCGAGACTAGTCAGCAACGAAGGTGGAGCAAGCCTAGTCAATTTAGTCTGACGCCGTGGGAAGAAGAGGGGTTGTGAACTGTGCTAACAAACGCTTGTGGATTACAGAAGTGACTAGTCATGGCGGCCATATGGGGGACGATCACTTGTTCTTGGTAATCAAATGCCGATCCTCAAGGTATGCGGTGTTTGCTATTCCCCACTGACTTGTCGGACAAATGACCGCATAAATATGAGTCGAAGAGCGTGAGCTCGAATCGCCGAATGACAGTCAAAGGCCAAGGTGGGGGTTTCAAGGTGGTTTTCGCGTGGACAGCAAGGATCTGCGAGGTCTGTTGAACGCCGGGCCCCTTCTCAACCGAGCAATTGTCTGATCTCCTTGCTTCTGCAGCTGCAGGAGTTGATGGGGTGGTTCACGCAGCGTCGCAGACCGTCTGGCCGTCCTGTGGATCGGTTTTATACCTCTCGACAACGATGTGTACAATACAGTACAAACAAGGAGAATTTACGATGGTCATTTGGGGCTGGCAGGACAGATGTTACAAAAGTGATAAGAAGGTCTCATTGAGCACGTATATTATCCGATTGTGAGCTTGATATTCAGATCAGGAAAGAAGAAAGGTATCAACAGGGTATGCATGCGAACAACACGAAGGCAGCGATGGAAGAGAGATCTAATCACGTGACGCGGAAAATGGCGGGAATTGAACAGCCATAGATTGCTTAACCGATCAACAATCGAATATCGGGGACGACATGAATTGAGATTCGAGTTTCCATATATCGCACGACTCATCGACACCTCATCCTCAACTCACACCTGTTGGTCTGACTGTAATGGGTGCCACTTTGAGATTACGCCATTGTAATATGTGGGCATCCCGTCGAGGTTCCCAGCTCTTGAGTCATCAACGCCTCTTGGCTAGGGAACGCAGCCCACGACTTGGAGCAAACTACGCTTTGCATCATTCGTTGACCTGAGTTGAAGACATTTGCTAATCTCCATATCAAATATAGGCACTTGCGACCAATCGAACCATACAAACATTCTCTCCTGCCCATGAAACCGTACAATCGTCTCATGACGGGTGGGCAGCCACTAACCATCCTGATATCCATATTCACTCTATCCTGCGAAAGACCCAGGACATTGCGCCGGCCTCGAAAGACTGCGCAATGACGAGAAGCTTGTATACCGCTCGAAATACCTTCTGTCCCGCGACCAAGCGACTAGCACAAGCTCCGTGGATCGGGTTGCCATACCGCATCCTGCAAACTATGCTACAATTGGGGTCGGCTATTCAAATCGCGCCAAAAACAGCTACTGTGACAAGCTTTGCGAACTAGCCATAATAGGCTCTAGTTAACGCCACTGCCTAAGCTCGCTGTCGCGCCGGCCTGACGGATCCCATGGCGTCTATTCAAGCAGCTTACCAAGCCGCACCTCGACATGCAAGGTCCGACCGACTGTGGAGGAGCAGGGAAAGCAGGACTGGGCCGAAGATCGCAGTTTCGTTTGTTTCGGAGCCAATATTAAGTTAGTACCTGCGAGAGCAAGTGACGCCGCCAACGAGAAACAGGATCGAGCAACGCTTTCTGATTTCGAGGAACCCATGGTCCGCATCGTATGGTTTAAAGGCTGTAACGTGGGTGCGCCTCGTGCTCTCGTGATCGGGACTGAGTCTGCGTGGCCGTTGAAGCCTGATATCAGCTCATGCTCGAGTGTGTATAGCCAGCGAGCCATACAAGACCCTGCTCCAAAGCGGCACAGTATTGTAGGTCTTCTGTTCCAGTATGAGAATAGGCTTCAGTGCAGCAAGATATCGTCATCTTGGTTTTCTACTGTCCGGCTTGTGTTCTCAAAAACGCCATTCGAAGCTCGCCAAGAGCAGACATGGAGCAATCGGACAATTAGGCAACATGCATGTCAATAGTTAGGGTAGTCAGTTAGACCAAGCACTTGTAGGTAACCTCATCTCGCATACAGCATTGATTGATTGAATGATCGAACTCCAGACCCCGCATTTTCCACAGCTTCACCTGGCTCATGTGCTAGCGACCAGCAAATGATGAAGCCGTACTGAGAATCCGCAAGGATGGACCGTTTTCTTCAAACAAAGCAGCGCTAGACCGCATCGCGTAATCTTGCAGAATTGCTAGGGCCAAACTGCCTAAGAGTTTCGATGGTCTTTGTTCCTAGTCCTACCGACTCCGCCCCGTATCCGGCTCCGACTCCGTCTCCCACGCCCAGGTTTTCTCCAAGTTTTTTTCGGCATGGTGAGCTGTGCTGCTCTCCCGCGTTCCTTTCTCTGCCTGAACTTTTGAGTTTGGCGACAGCAAGTGTGACCGCGTACCGTATGTACTGTACGTACCGTACCATTACCTGCCGCATTTACCCCGGTTATTCCCGGACCGTAGCTGATAACGTCCGCTGTCGTATCGTACCGGTCAGTACCGGTCCAGTGTCTGAACCAGAAACCTTGCCCTGCCCTCCAAAATTCTCTCCCCGCCTGGTAACTTACCCCTACTCTGGGGCTACTACTGCCTGCCCTGCAGTGTAACGCTCAAGGTTCGATGGCGGCCTCCCGGAAGATCCTCCACGTGCGTCTTTCCACGAATTATCAATTGGCTTTAGTCATGATGATTGAGGGCCGGGGGTTCTGCCAAAGAACTGCTGACTCAGCACAGCAGAAGATCGAGAGGTCGGCTGGGATATCGATAGATACTGATATGTATGTACATCTCGCGTAATGTGGTTGGAATTCGGCAGGATCTAGTACCTGAGATAGTTGTGAGTATACGGTACATCAAGCTTGGTTTTAGCTATGCTCGAGTTGGGAAGACATGTAGTCCGGTTCCTGTAAACCTCGGTT